ATTGATAGCTAGGAAGCAGATGTTTTAGTCTTTTAGTTTCCTTTTTGGCTTTTTGATTGTCTCTTTTGAATGGCATAAAGATGTTGTTTATCTCTATGTGCATATTGATGGCTGATTTGTCTGAGTGCAAAGTTTCCAGTGATTATCTAACATTTTTGGATTTGGCTTGATTTAGGATATTCTCAATTTCTCATTTGGAACTATGCTTAAGTCTATCCATGTGTTGTGAAATTTTCACCATGTCTTCTAATTGTTGATGTTCATGGGTCACTTTGCTACTCTTCTGCCTGTTTGTCTTACGCAGTGGCTGTCACATCACAGTCATCATCTTGTATGTTGTAGATTGCTCTTGTTTTTTCTTCAGGGCTGCTGAGTTTTTTTGTTTACTTAGGATGTTTTGGAGGGCTTTGGTTGGTTGGTTTGCAGGTAGCACTATGATGCAGAAGCCAAACCCATTGGACTTCAATTAGTGACATTATTTTGTTGATGGTGCTAATGCAGTATGCAATGTAGTGATGTCACATGGATGTGCTAAGATGCAACATTAACTATTCATACCATTCTGGACCAACTGCTGCTTCTGGTAGCCCCATAGTGGAAAGCAGGTGGATAAGTGGTTGCTGAAAAGTGGATGAATGAGCGAGAATGTGTACAGATATGCAGGTCAAGAATGGCACATGTGGGTGAGTAGGACATGCTGTGTGGGTTGGGAAAAGTGTATGGATGTGTGCCAGAATTGTTGCATAGGTCCGGGAGAGTATGGGATATGATGGTCAGGAAGAGTTTCCTGGGATGTACAAGAGATATGGTATTGGTCAGATAGGGTGTAAGAGGGTGGCATGGATCATGAAAGAAAGATATATCCTCTCTCTTCGATACTTCTTTTTTCCTTTTCTGAAAAATTTATCTTATTCAATCAGAGGGTTATAGAGATAAGCTGTCTTATTAAGGGCTTTTGGACTTAAGCTGGGGCCATCTGATAGCTGATCCCTGATTCAGGGTAAGTAATAAATTGATATCTTTTAAGAAGTGCAAAAAGTGAGCAGAACTCTGCCCTTATTAGGCATAAATATAAAATCTATCTCCTTGGAGAAAGACAGTTAATTAAAGGTAAATTTTAATAACATTGTAGGAAGGATTTGATTACAAAGTGTGTTGAGATGGCATATCTATGGAGAGAAAGCATTTTGAGAATAAAAGGAAGGAGAAGTGATGGAAGCAAGTTTATAACACGGTTACTGTACAGATAATTGAGACCACTAGTTAAAATTACTCTATCACATTAAAAAGACATAAAGCACTGGTTTGTCTTATATTGTATTTTATTGATCCAAATATAATTATATCAAAATTAGGAAATGTAGAATTAATTAATGTGCATTGAAGACCAGATCCAAATGAATAGATCTACCTTGTGTTATACAGTCAATCATGACAAGAATTTCAAAAAACTCAATCATGTTCTCCTATATCTAGCATGGTTGCAATTAAAAAAACAACAGAATGAAGTGTAGTATAATTTGTAGGAAACTTATAAAACAACAAATTTCTTAGAAACTGTTGAATGTATTTTAAGTGCCCATAATTATTTTATACTATTAGTTTTAGACAAAATATTGTGAAAATTGAAATCAGAGCCTATGATGAGTTTCTGTAATAATATGAAGCAAATGTTAATTAATTCTTTAAATACCACTCTGCCTTTCTGGAGAAAAGAAAATGTTGCTGGAGCAATCAATGGTAGTCTAATTGGAAGAATTACTTTGACCTGAGAACAAGGTTCTCAGCTGCTGAATGCAATCTCTCTTCTTCCCACCTAAACTTTATGAATTATGATTTGCTACATAAACACATTTTCTCTTCCCTTCACCCACTTGGATTCTAAGTAAAAGAGATCTAGAAGGAGTATAAAGAAAGGCTTTTAGAATATTACTATCAATAGATTCTAAGATATCACTTTACTCTTCCTGCACCCACTCACCCAAGACAAAAAAAAAAAAACCTGTCAGGAAGGAAGAGCAATTGTGTAGAAATAATAGCAACATAACAATTTTATCTTTTATCTCTGAATGCCTTTTAATTCAACATACCAAACATTTTCAGAGCCATTTGGGCCACAGAACACAGTGATTTTTTTTCCTCTTAAATCCTGCAAATCTTTCACCACCATCTCTTTCCCCTACCTTACTTTCAAGATATTACCTAATGATACTTAGGGTTGCACTTTCCATTCATCAAAATTTTGTTATGAGGAGTAGCAATGGGTGGATGCATGCATACACATGGATGATACAATTGTAACACCATGTCAGACATAATTAGCTTAACTGGAACTTAACATGTGGTCGTGATTCTCTGTGTCTTACACACTGAGATATAATTTATAAAATTAGCTTCTTACTCATTTTGAAAAGTATATTCATCATCCATATCATTCTCATCATCCAACAGCACATGTAAAATAAAAACAATTAGCTCTTTTATGTTTTGACTGATATCACATTCAAAATTACTTCTATCCTAAGGAAAAGCTATTAAACTGGGAATACAGAACTCCAGGCATTACAATTACTTTAAAGAATGGGATCAGCATTGTTGAGGAATTCACAGAGCAACCCTTGAGTAGCAAGGGTGTGCACATGAAAAGCGATTGAAAATAGTTAGGATAATAACACAGCCAACACACAGATACACTGAGTTGTATTTACTTTCAGGAAATAGTAATAAGGCACAGTCCAATAAACAGTCCAGGTCATACACGTATAAAGCAGTAGATTGTAAAACAATAGTCCAGGGATAATCCAATAACAAAGTCTTCTTACCAGTCGTTGTAGTCATACAAGATAAACAGTTGCAAACAGTAGGAAACACAGCAAAAAGCACACAACAAAACAGCAAAGATATCAGCAAAAGAAGCAAAGAGAAATAAACCAGGTTTCTAGCTCCCTTTTAAGGACATTGGCTACAGAGCTAACAAATCAGGACACAGTATGATGCAATACAGCAGTCTTAAAGCTATATTCATAGTTTATATATTGCCAACCCAACAAGTTAGGTAAAATCATTTCCTAATAAGCATGCAAAATCACTACAGGTAGTCCTAGCCTAGTCGTTTAACAACTGATCAAAATTACCATGAAAGGGAGTGTTACAGCTATTAAAGCAATTCCAGCCATCATAAAGTGTCACTCCATCCCCCACATGGCAAGTTGTCACATGACCACACTTCAGGCACTTGGCAATCAGGTCACATGCCAAGCATCCTGCCATCATGTGATTGCCCTTTGCAATTTTTTCTATGGCTTCCCCAGAAAGTCAATGGAGAAGCCAGTAGGGAAGGTTGCAAGCTAGGGGAACAAAGGATTTAAGGCCTGTTCTACATTGCGCCTAGGGATTCCCCCCCCCATCTGGGAATGGGAAATCCATCAATGGAATTCAGGACAGACCTCAAATCCTGAAGATTCGCTAGCTTCCTAGGACTAGAAAACTAGTGAATACAATCATTCTGAAGACTAGAATTATTTCTAGCCTTTAGAATGATTTGGTTTGCTAGCTTTCTACCCTCCCTAGGCTAGGAAGTCTAGTGAACATGATCCTTCTTGCAAGGTCCCTTCACCAAATTTGTTATTGTTGTTGTTTACATCTGTACATTCTATGGAATTTACAGATAAAATAATACATTTCTCTTCAAATATATTCTCTAGATCCTCAGACTGCATATCAAGTTTACTTTTATTGTATTCGTCGTCTATTAGAGACAGCACAAATGGTTACTTGCTATACTGTTAGTTAACTGCTCCTTCATTTTTTTAATCCAAGGTTTTAATGAAACTTAGTCATTTTCCTCTGCTCTAATTTCATGAAGATCAAAGAATTAAAATGGTGCTTGTGATATTGTGTGCTAAAAAGCAATCAATCTGCTTTAGTGCACTTTTTTCCAATCCAGGAATTTGGACAGTAGATGGTAAAGTTTGTCCAACAATAACTGTAATGCACTTACTTAAACAGAATGACAAAAGTTGGAAGGAACTTTGGAATCTTCTAGTCCAACCTCCTGCTCAAGGAGGAGACCCTAGACTATTCTGGACAAATGGTTGTCCAATCTCTTCTTAAAATCCTCCGCTAAGTAATTTTTCTAATTGTCAGGAAATTTCTCCTTAGTTTTAGGTTGGATTTCTCCTTGATAAATTTCCGTTATTTCTTGTCCTGCTCTGAAGTGCTTTGACTCCCTCTTCTCTCAGACAGCCCCTCAAATACTGGAACATTGCTGTTACCCTGTCACTAATAGTCCTAATTTTAGCCAGAGTAGATATACCAAGTTCTTGCAGAATAGATGTACCAAGTTCTTTATTATATTTTAGCCTCTAATCCCCAAATAATCTTCGTTGCTCTTCTCTTCACTCTTTCTAAAATCTTTGTTATCTTTGTTAGCTGCCCAGAGTCAAAGAGTGAATTGGGGATCCATACAAATTTTCGTAAATAAAGGCTATGGCTGCCAGACAGAGAACATAAGAATAAAAATTTAAATAAATGTCCTTTTTATCCTTATGTCCTGTTATCTGGCAGCCATAGCCTCAAAATCAAATATTGTCTGGCTCTTAAGTAACCTTTTTTGGGGAAGGGGGGGCATGGGTTTCACAACCATACTCAAATATTTGTGTAAATTGCCAGCTTCTTTCTTTGCATCATCTGTCAACAGATTCAACATCTTAGATTTATGTTATTTCCTGATTCGAGCAATCAGTTTCAATCCAGCCATTCAGATCTGTAGATCACATGACTTTTGTGTTGAAATTTGAAGAGAGTGACATTAATTCTATATTCTAATCTAATTGGTACATTTTTGAAAATGAAGAATAATATTTCTTGGAAAATATTGCAATTGAATAATCAGTCTTCTCATGCTGGAAAAAGACATTTCATTTATAGGTTACCCTAATTATTGTTTTCTGCAGCCTTTTGCTGCAATTTTAGTAACCAAAGAAGTTAAAACAGTGTACCTTGTTCCTTCAGCCCACCTCTCTTCTCTTCTCCCATTTGTCCTCCTTTCCAATGGTCCATGTTCTTCCTTTGCTTGGTATCTGGTAAAGATAAGCAAGGTCTTGTTTTGCCTTATTTTTCTCTACCATTGGCTGTTTTTCCTTAAATACATCTATCACATTATTCTTATGGGGGATAAGTGCGGAAAAAGTGCAAAGTGTGGAAAAAGAGTATGGAACAGTAAGAAATAGTACATTCCATATAAGGCCGGAGTTGAGGGAAAAAAAGAAATATAACTCTTATGTATCCCAAAACTATTTATTGTATTGTTCCATCTTTGTAAAAGGAGCCTTGCTTCCCCGTGACATAACGCACCTATGAATTACATTGCTAACAGCAAACTGAGGGAGTTCTTTAAAATAAAACCTTGTTTTCAAAATACAGATTCAACCGCTATATGAACTTAGGCCCTTCCTGGGAAAGAAACAGCAGTGCCAAGTCGCCATTGTTGGATCCATTCATCTGTACCCACTTGGTGGCGCCAGCAATTGTTTCTCGCAGGCAATAGCAAAGAGGGGAGGGGAGCAACTTTCCCAGCAGCAGCCGCTTCCCTCATTTGCCTTTGCTTCCCACTTCGGTAGGGTGAGCTGCCGGCTGAGAATGAGGGAGGCACTGCCACCGCCCCCACCACCATCGGTCGCCGCCGGGAACTTGTTCTAACTCCGGCAGCCACCTTTCCTTTCTGCAGTAACTTTGCCTGGAAGATGCGCCAGCTCTAATGTTGCTCTCCTTGATGCGTGGCTAAAGCTTTCGTGGGCTCTTCCCGATTCTACCAGCCCAGTTATGGTCGGGAGATGATTGCTTGCAAGACTCCTGGATTGCGTGCATATTGTTCTTTCTCTCTCTCTCCCTCGGCACGGTTGGCGCCAGATCTTCTCAGCAGCGGGAAAAGACGCTCAAAGATTTCTGCCGTCCGCCCGATTACTGAGATATAACTTTGTATGTTTTGCAAGAAGAGCGGGTCATTTTCGTTTGCTTGGTGGTGAAGATAGAAATCGAAGTTCTTCTCGACCTTGCGTTTTGGTGCCGCTGTTTCCACGGCTGTATGTCTATGTTTTTTTGAATGGCTGCACCATGGCTACCGCAACGATGGTTTGCAGAGTGCAGTTTCTGGACGACACCGATCCTTTCAATAGTACTAATTTTCCTGAGCCCACCCGGCCGCCCCTCTACTCCTTCAGGGAAGACATCCCCCTGGTCACCCAACTGGCCGGGGTCCACCGCCTGCTAAAAGCTCCGCAAAAGGTATGGAACTTCCTGGGAACGTTTAATTGGCCGGAGTGGCCGTATTAGATGAGAAAGGAGCCAGAAACTTCGCGAGGGGGGATGCGCTCTGTATATAGGCCGTTCAATTCTTGGATTCAGTTTTTCACGGGAACATGAAAAAAACTCGTAACGACATTTTTGTGCTAAAGAACAATGGTGGACTTAAAATATCAGTAGTGTGACTGAAATTTCCTAATATTGAATATCTGAATTGGCAGGAGTTTGATGACAATATCTGCTTCACATCATGTATAATAAAGTTGGAATATATTGTTCCAAGAAAGTTGGTGGACACAATCCTAGAAGTTGTAAAGAGAGATTCAGGAGTCAGACTATATTAATTATGCTTTTCTGTATTAAAATAATTAAAAACCAGTGGAAATCAGTAACCTAAATTGGCTTGCCCCATTGATTTAGTGGGGCTAAAACGTGGCTTAAGTGGATCAAATGATTTCTGGAGCTTAAGTCAACAGCTATTTTACTTATAAAATCTTCAAATGCAGAGGCAAGTATCCCTGTGAACGTTGCTTATGGTGGGGGAGTTGGGATAATTGAGACACTGACTGGATTCCTTTTTTTCCAAAGGTATCTAGTTTATCACAGTTGAAAAGGAGAACTGCTTTCAGATTTTATGGATAACAGAATCTACCACATGCCTCATGTTATCTACCTTGATTAATTGTTGTGTGACTTGAGAAGCAGATCTTACTTTCTTGTATTTTGTTTTTGAAATAATAAAACATCCTGAAATTAAACCGATAGGAGCAGTCAAAATAATTGAAATTTTAATTCCTTGAATAAAAAGTGTAAGATGTATTGAAGATTGCATTTAATTTTCCAGAAAATTCCTGAACATACAGGGGAAATCACCATCCCATACTGTCCCATTTTGCCCCAGTACTTTTTATTAGGTAATTAATTCTGTGATGTTCAGCCAGTAAATTATAAATTAGTGAAATTGGAATAGATCTGGAAGATGCTAGGTTGGGGAACAGTGTCAATATGATTAATGCATAAAAGGATCTGGGCAAATTGGCTGTATTTGTACAGTCTGGGACAGGCCTTTGGAACTTTTAGTTGCATTTATAAGGCCTATGAAGGAAATAAGGTTTTACACAATGCTATTTCATTTATTTGTGGTTTGATTGTAATATATTGCTCGCTAAACATAAAATAATTACTTTTCTGTGTCAGATGATGGAATAAACATAAAAAATAATAGCTTGATATTGTTGCACACCAATGACATGATGAAATGGTTATTTTTTAGTATTACTAATTGGAACACTGCTGGGAAATTAAGAGTGTGACAGTCTTATTTGGTTCATATTTTACAAAATTAACAGATATTTATCACAATTCAGTTCTGCTAAATTAAGTGATATGATTTCTTTCATTTTTGCTTGTGGAAGAAGGAAGATCTAATTTTAAATTTCTCTCCTACATATAATAGGCTGGGATAATTATAAAAATAGTTCTCCACTTAGATATTTGAGATGGAAAGATTGTATCTCAGGTTTCGATAGAGGTTTTTGCTAAGAACCTGGCATAAAAATAGTGCAACAGTATGCTGATACCAAATAAGGTGCAGATGGAAATACAACAGTGATCAGTTAGTAACAGCAACCATAACGTGAGGTAGTTTTTGATGGTGCCTGAATATGTTAATGGGTATTTTATAACCTTGCCATAAATGCTTTTCATAGCAAACAATCATACTATAGATTGACCCTGTATCTAAAAAATCTCTCAATTTTTGTTTCCTTGAACAGAAAGAATAAACCCTATATATATAATTTTTTAAAATTTTTATAAAACTAGATGTCTAGAACCCTGGGCTACTTGCTCTTTTCTAATATATTTTGAGTTCTTTCTTAATAAATTACTCTTGCATGGAATGAGTCATCTGAATATTATCAAATAGCTGTTTCTTGCAAATGGATTTGACATCCATGTAAATGAATGCATGTAAGTGTTTCTATTAATCATTAATTTGCCCTCTTTTCTTAGGTCTCTTTATAAATTGCTTTTCACTTTCACAGCAGCTTTACAGGACAAACAATTCTATTTAGCCAGGATTTCTGAAATGACTGAAGTCTTAAAAACAAAGTTAACCATAAAGTCATCCTTACACATAAATTTGTATTATCGACTTTTCAGAAACGGAAGTAATGGTGGCAAGACAGAATTCACTAGTGCTGGAGAAATTGGGAAGGAGGGAAATATATATAAACAAAAAAGGTATTCTTAAGTGGTTGTATTTGTGTGTCTTAAGATCTCACACTTGTGCTGAGCTTTCAATAAAAATAGAAGTTGAGTCTCCTTGGAATAATTGATACCCTGGTAAAGCTACAACATATCAAATAAAAGGAGGCCATCTACAGTGGGTATAAAAAGTATACCACCCCTATTAAAATGCCAGGTTTTTGAGATAAAAGAAATCAGTTCAAAATAAATCAGAATTTTTCCATCTTTAATATAACAAGCTGTATAATTCAATTGAAAAACAAACGAAGTATTTTAGGAGAAAAAATAATAAGTACAATAACTAGGTTGCATAAGTGCACACCCTTAAACTAGTACTTTTTTGAAGCACCTTTTGACTTTATGGCAACATTTAGTTTTTTGGGATAAGAACCCATCAGCATGGCAACATCTTTGAGAATCTTTGCCCACTCTTCCTGGAAAAGCACTTCAAATCTGTCAGATTGCGAGGGAATCTTCTGTGCGCAGCCCTCTTCAGTTTATAATCAAACCACAGATTTTCAATTAGATTCAGGTTCGGGCTCTGAATGGGCCATTGTAAAACTTTGATCTTCTGGGGAAACCATTCTTTTATAGATTTGGAGGTTTGCTTTGGATTGTGGTCATACTGAAAGATGAAATTCCTCTTCATCTTCAGCATTTTAGAAGGCTTGAAGTTTTTGTGCCCAAATTTACTGATATTTGGAATTGTTCCTTATTCCTTCCACCTTGACTAAAGCCTCTGTTCCAGGTGAAGAAAAATAGCTCAAAATATGGTGTACTTGAGTGATGTGCAGTGTTATTTTTGAACCAAACAGTGTTTGGAATGATGACCAAAAAGTTCAACCTTCGTCTCATCAGACCATAATACATTTTCTCACATGCTTTTGTCAGATTTAATGTAGGTTTTTGCAAAATGCAGCTGGGCATTTGGGCATTGGATATTTTTCTTAGTAAGTAAAAGCATCCATCATGCCACCTCAAACGTGAACAATATAAGAGATTGTTGTCACATGTAATACACAACCAGTGCTTTCCAGGAATTCTGTAGTTCCTTTAACATTGCTATAGAACTTTTGGCAGTCCTTGGACTAGGTTTCTTCTTATTTTACCATCAATTTTGGAGGGACTACAGTTCTTGATAATGTCATTGTTGTACCATATTTTCTCCACTTGTTGATGTCTGCCTAAACTGCTCCATGGTATATCCAAAGGCTTGGGGAAAAAAATTATACTTTCTCCTGACTAATACCTTCCAACAATGAGATATCTTTGATGCTTTATAAACCCTTTGCAAACCATGGCTTTTGCTGTAAGAGGCAATTGAGTCAATGTCAGACAAAATCTTATCAGCACAGCTAAAGTTTATATGGCCTAGATGAGAATCACTTTAATTGATGGCAAGTGGGTACTAATTAGCAGTTAACATCAGTTTGGATGTGATTGGTAATTCTGAACCCTACTTATCGCTACTTATAAAGATAGTGTGCACACTTCTGCAACCACGTTATTGTAAGTTTTTATGGCTATT